TTTCACAGAATGCAGTACTCTCTCCCATCCCAAAATAAACCCAAACACAGCTCACCATTTCATGAAATTAATTCCAGACAGTTACAATGACTTGCATCCCAGTCAACTATTCACTTCTTAACTAACTACCTTTTAAGTATATTTTAAATGCACCTCCCCAAAAGTTCACTAGCACACTGAGTGAATTCTAGCCGAGTCCTGAGAGGGGTTCAGCTTCTTTAAGAAAGCAAGTAATTAAAAGCCTGAATAAAGAAGCCTAAGCTTACCTTTAAAGAACACTGTTGCCCAAGATGGAGTCATATTTAACTCTAAACCTTTCAGAATTACACTGTATCAGAATTATCCCTGTACTCTGATGTTCAGGAAGAAAGGCTCATCTGCAAAACCTGAAGTACATACCTTCGGCCTGGTGTCCATGACATACATGAAGCGATTTGAAGGATTTGCTTTACTGATGGCTTGTAACATGTGCTCATCTTCCAGGCACCTGGCACTGAAACCCGAGAGAGGCTGACTGCATCTACAAATTGCAGCCTACCACAGAAATGAAAGAACAAGTTAGCACTGTTTAATACCTGTAACTGAAATTAGTTGTTTTATTTGGCAGATAACAGCACACAGTGGAAAAAACTTTAGGTATTCCATTGTTTTTAGCACATCACTTGCAGACCTTCAAACACAGTACCTACAACTTAAATCCAAAGGTTTATAAAAAATTTTTTTCAGGTTCATCTGCATGTGCAAAGTACCAGTGTACATAATGGAGTTACCCCAGCAATACTACTGCAAGTATGATTTTATTATTGCAAGTACAATATATTACAATCTGGTCTAATTTTCATCACGTAATTTTCAACAATATATTGTACTTCAGAAGGCATCAGGTGCATCTTCCAAATAGCAATTATCCTCAAATGCATCTAGTAGCTTAACACTCATCCTTTCTAAATTCTTCAACTCAGCAAGGTCACAATCCTCTCCTTTCAAAGATATCCCCTAGCCAAGACAGGCAGATGGTGCTTCACACCACTCTCCACCAAACCCTGCAAAACCTTGTTTCACATCCTCTAGCTCTTTTAACTTTGCAAATTCCTCCTTAAAGAACTAGTTTTATTCTTTGGGGGTTTTCTTTTGTGGTGTTTGGTTGTTTTTTTTTTAAACCCCATTTTGACCTAACAAATTTTATTCTTGATATATCAAGGAAGACAGATCACTTGACAAAAAGCTATCTTCAGTTATCTTAAGGTCAGTTTCTGAAAGCTTTAAAGAGAGTCAACTGATTACTTACGTATTTCTTTTAAACTGGCTTAGTTTAATTCAGCATCTTATCCTGTTAGACACCACTAGTGTCAGCTGTATTTAAGGCTGTCATGAGTTACACCATTCTCATACAAGTCACTTCAATTATCTCCTTACTAACTAACTACTTTCAAATAACAAACTTACTGAAAGTTATTTCTTGACAAAAGAAAGACACATTATACCTCTTTAATTTTATGGTAATATGACAACACTGGGAATCTTCCTTTGCTTCTGAACTTGGAGCTACCAACGATTATGGGCTTGCTTGCGGTTCTGGGAACATAAAGTTCTCTAGGATAGGTTTCACAAATCTAAAAAAGACACAGATACACAAAAATAATTTCATGTACAAGGCACAAAGCCTATACTAGTCTTATTGCATCCAACTTGAGAGATATTAGATGAAATAAAAGACAGGATAAATGCTAACAAGTTTCTCTATATACCTATAAATAGCTCAGGAGACAAGCCATGGATAAAGCAGTACATATTGGTATCCAAGTTACACAACCAAGCACTGCTGGAAAGCACTGCTATACTAGCATTCAACCCTCAAGAACACAACTCTTCAGTAGAAGTGCTAAGAATGTGTTTCAAATAAAATATTGAAAGTGTTTCCTTCATTTGTTGTATTTGCAGACTACAAAGTAGGAAGAAATCTAATCTGGGAATCAGCTGCACCATTACAGCCATTGTCTCCCACAGCCACCATTACAAATGCTGAAGTAGAATCCTTCTCAGTTAAGAGAGATAACAAAGCTGCACAGCACCAGAATTGCTGGGCTGGGCTTCAAACAGGTAAGTATACTGCATAGAAAAATTTTAAAAGCCCCACAAGCATCTGCTTCCCAACTTGCGTCTGTTGCATATTCGGTGCTGGCTTCACAAGACTAGATTTGCATCCATGCATACATACTCTCTCAATGAGGCCTTAAAAAAAGCTTCACTTAGAAAATTGGGAGATTGCACACTGATTAAAGAGTTAACTCTCTCCACTTGCAAGTTCTTCCTTATGCTGCAAGCCAAGTGATTTCATTATTAGATCATTTTCTATAGGACTAGAGTCAGAGGATAAAGCAGAAACAGATACAGAACAAAATATGCTTTCATTACAACCCTTACCTTATACTCACGATTTGCATCAGACAACTGCCAGTTGGCATTTGGCACTCCCATTCTCTTATATTCTTCTGCTAGATCAATAAGCTGCCAACCTTTGACTTGCTCCGATTCATTTTGTTTTGGGTTATAGGAGAACGCATACAGTTCATCATAGTTCGCTAAAAGGTAAAGAATAAAACTACGTTATGAGTTGTCCCCTAAAACATCTGAGTGGAAAAGGTAGCACAGTTTCCAAGTCTTGAAATTGCCCAAATTGCAGAAAAAGGTTCAGACTTCAAGATTCTCAGAAGCAAGACTAAATAGATACTTGATACTCTTGAACTATTTCTTCTGCAACTGTCATACAGTTAACCAACACAATTTTAGATATTTAATTAAAGGTAGGTTACAGGAGCTTTGAGTGTGCTTGACCTATTTCAGCAGGGAAATGTCTAAAGCCATAAGGGCAAAGCAGAAATCACAAAAGGAAGACTGACAAATCAAGCACGACAAAAGGCAGAATTATTAGAAGACTTCACAAGTGCTAAAAGAACAAATAATTTTTGTAGGTAAGAACAGAATTGTACATCTACTGACCTTAAAAAAACCCTCTCAAACTATTTTTTTTCCTAAAACACTATTCACATCACAGATGACATCTTACATTGTTCTGAACATAGCACAAAGAATGCAAGAGACCATACTACGTGACAGAAGTATCTTTTAAAGCTGAATTGGTAGTGCTACTTTAGCATCAGAATTTCAACTTTATTTTTGAAACTGCATGAGATCAGTAACAAGTCAGTATTTGCTAAGTAGCATTTGACCTATGGAATACACCAATTAAGAGGGACAATAGGCATTTACATTCACACTTCAGAGATAACACTAGAAATGCAAAAAAAAAAAGAAATCTCACATTCTGTTAGTGAATATCAGAGACCCATAAAAGCCAGATGATGCATCTCATTAACTCATATGCAGATTCATACTTAATCATTACAAATCTTTTACATACCCCATCCATTTAAAATACTTTTAAATAATGCACATTTTTTAAAAAACAATAAAAGCCATGGATTCTCCACCTCCCACCCCGCTAACCTGTAACTCAGGCATATACAAAGCCTTTTACAGTTAGAAGTATTACCTGTTCTTGACAGCTGAAGCAGAGAGTTATAAATGTCATGACAATCTCTTTCTCTGGGAACAACAAAGTGAACTATCCTGAAGTTCTTGCACTGGATGACAAGGGGACAGCCAGAAGTAGTCAAGGGAAGTTTTTCCACCGCAGCAATATGGTGATGTAGTATCTGTGGCATACAAGAACTCACAGCATAAGCACACTGATGAAAAATGAGAACAGTGTACTATTTACAAGAGCAGATGTAAGACATTAAGTGACATTGAATATGGCTTTTGACTAATTTTTATTTTTATAAATAAATTATTGGCAATAAGTTTAAAAAACTGGCATTTTGGTCAGGATACCTTATCTGTCAAAATTTAATGATTCTCTTCCCTCGTATTTTGAGGGTTTACCTGACATTTGTAAGTAACAGTAAATATCCTTCTAAACGCCAAAGTGAGAAGACTCCACTGCAGTTGTTCAGTCCTCATCTATAACTCTAACTGACAAGAATACATCTAATTAGGCAGGGTCCAAACAGGATTTTTAGATTTTTTTTTTAAGGATCTACAGGAACAATGTCAACCAAAATAAGGCAAGTCAGGGAAAGCAATAAAAGTTTTACAGATACAGAAGATGCTGAAGGTTTTAGAATTCCAGTATTTAACATCTACAGAATGAACAGAGGAAAAACATCTCTTGTATTATCATTGCGTTATACAAACACAACAGTCTCTCAGCTAAATGCCTTTCAACCACTTTAACAGAAGATTGTCACAGCAATGAATATACAAAAGCCCACTACAGATTTATCTGTGTGGCACATCTACACAAAACTTAGGAAAATACACAAAAAGTAAACAGCTGTTCAACCATGTGAAGAAAGCCACAGATACATTACCTCAACTGAACAAGATGTTCTTGATAGCATTTCAATTACCTCACTGAATCAACTCCTCTTAAATATTGATCAGAATTCGACAGGCATCTGAAAACTGTGCTGCCAAATATGCATTTACAAAGAGACTACATCTTGGAGACATTATCATAATTATACTTGGTACTTACATTACCCTGACAGAAATGCAATACTCTGAGTATAGGTTCAATTTCTCCAAAATGAAGCCTTTTAACATAGTGCACAGGGAGATGCAAGTAATGCTTCTGAATCATGTTCTCCCCAGTAACCCATTTTGTATGAAAGAACAACAGTTTGGTTTGTACAAAATTGTACATTACATTCAAGAACAAATCACAGAAAAATAACTTTTCTTGAAAGCACTGTGAGGCGTTTAGTCAGATAACCAGGGTACAGGAATAAAGGTAATCCAGAAAAATAAACATACGGCAAAAAAAAAAAAGGAGAAGTAACCACACCCAGGGAAATGAGGTTTCACCCTAGAGAATGACAGACTTAAGGCACTGAACTCAGGTAGCTGTGCTACAGTGGAAGCCAGAATTTGATGTCCATATGTGCCACTAGGGCACTGAGCAGAAAAATTAATGGGAATTACTGTACCAGCCAACTCCGTACAACATTGGTAGTGGTCATCAAGAAGCTGCAGCCCTTTCTGAATTCTTTTATTCTGGAGATGAACACTTGGGAAGGAACAGCTGCTTACCACTCTAAAAAGGGCAGATCTTCAATATTCCACCAAAGCCCAGATCTTTGGATTTTGCTGTGTCATTTAATCTAGGCAGGATCTAAATACAAGGTAAGTAAATGCAGAAATTGTAAACCTGATGCCTTAACTATCTAGCAGTCTCCCATTTCTGCCTCTGAACTGTGATGCAAGTCAGTTGTTTAAACAACACTATCATACATTTACTCAGGAATACAAGTAATACATAGTAGAAATTATAGCAGCTTGAACATAAGTGAACATTTTCAACATTACCAATTTCAACTGCAGCAGTGTCATGCAAGAGTACAATCCGCAAACCATTAACTTATTATGATATCATAAACAAGGAGAGTGTGAATAACTTATACCTTAGGTAAGCATTTTAGTAAACAATTCAATCTTAGATCAGGAAGAACAAATGCATCTGAAGAACCTTTGCTTTTGAGCAACAAGCATTCATTATCCTTACCCATGTTTCTCTCTGGCTTGAATCTATGAATAACAGATGAGTTGCTGTGAGGTATAGAGTTCCTGTCAATGACTTATTACTTGTGCTGAACCTATCCAGTAATTTCACTTGTTCTACCTGTAAGAAAAGAGGAGAGAACAAAATTATTTTTTTCCACCCAGAACACAGAATCCTAACTTCACAAAAGCTTTGTCAGTTTGTGCAATAACTCTGAAAATGGTAGAAAGTGTAACAGAGCACACATAAGGCCGTCCAGGTCAAACTATTAAAAATACACTAGTGGGCACATAAGCTTTGAGAACACCGACAAGTTAAAATATCCTGTTTCAATACAAAAGTGCATCATGAAGGCACAAGGCTAGGCTCAGAATACTTATCCATATACAAAACTACTGTGATTATTTACTAGTAAAAGAAACCAGGGTATCAAGTTTTTTAAAAAGTAATTAAAGAACGGTGAATTACTAAGCTTTTAGGCAGCTTCCCCAAAGTAGAGAAAACACACTAACAGTTTCCTGTTATTGAGATGCCAGCACTGAATTAACAGCTGATCTCAGCAACATGCTTCACAGGCTGTCTGCAGACTCAAAGCAATGAAGATTATGTCCTCCTGACTTCACCTTTAGGTATCTACTGCCTTATATCATCCCCAGCTTCAAAAATCTAGATGATCATAACCTTGCCTCACAGTCAAAATAAATTCTAATGAAATGCAAACATTATACTAATAATTATAACGATGCCCTCGAAACTCAAGGACCGTGCTGGCATTTGAAGCAGATATTTCAAGCTTGAGTCTCACACAGGCAGATTTCTCCTTCTGGATAACATTAACACTGTTTGTTATCTCAGACCTATGGAAAAACTCCTCAAAGAAAGCGATTTCTAGATAGCTTGCATTTTATCTGCTGCTTCTAACTTCACGAGCTCCAGTTTGCTTTATTTGAAGCAAGCATTACGTGATTCTTTGTGTGCAACAGGAAAGGAGTGTGGTGAACGGCTTATCTCCATGCATTCCTCGTTCTTGGCAGCACTGTCTCATTAGTACCAAGTTCAAACTCTTATGCCTGAGACTTGTTGCTACTTCCATTAAATGCATGGCACAACTCCAAAGCCTTCCACACCAGCAAGATCAGCACCCAGACAAGGCAACCAGGAGAGTCCCCATCTACCATAATGATGCTAAGCTGGTTACTTCATACACACAAATTTAATTATCTACTAAAAGCAAATATAACACACTAAAAAATTGTCTTTTCAATTCAGGTATTTCTTACAATCTAGCAAGGCCTAATTTTGTGTTTGAAAATTAGAAAAGCAACTTAATGCATACAAAACAGAATGGAGGTACTAAAGGCCAGTGCTATATGATATTCTAGATTGTGGTTTAGAAAGCAAAAACCATGGAAGCTACATGCACCAGTACCTCAGCATACATTATGCTGTAACTAGCAAGGTATCTCATATACAGAATAGCATAAATCAGTACACCACCACCAAAATGCAGAACTCATTTTGGGCAGCTCTGCAGCAGCACCTCCTCAGGTACCTGGCACTGCACCTCCCCAGCAAATTGAGAAGTGCACAGAAACTGCTCCAGTTTTGTTCCAGTAACACAACCCACCAAACCCTGGCATGCAAAGCTCCATTCTCCACCATGTGACAAGCTATTCTCAAATTGTACTTTTATGTTGGATGAGGACAGGCATTAGCACTTCAGCTTCCTCTTATATAGGTAAGGGCTTCAAGACTTGTGAACATTAAGTTCCAGATACACCTTTCGTAAAGACAACTGAAATCTAACCTAGATTCAGCATCCATATATGACACGGTAATTTAAACTTGTCCCAAGCCAGCTTTAATGGATACTCAGACACTTTTCCTTCCTCTTTAATTGTAAAGTTTGGCAAATTCTTAGTGAATAAAAAAAATAAGTTAGTCATCAGTTTTGAAGAAAATGGGTTCACAGGATTAAGAGACTGAAGACTGCTATTGAGTTTTAGCACATCTGTAAACAGAGACCATTTAAGTAGTCAGAAGGGATATTCTGACAGTAGCTAGCACAAACTGGTGTAAAAACTCACTAATTTGTAAAAGTTAGAACAGCCACCTCAACAAAATAGAGTATTTACAGTGAAAGAGTCAAACAATTTATTGGGATTAAGAGTTACAGATTAACGGCAAAAAAAAGTAAATAAATATTTCAATATAGTTGGAACAGAAAGGAAGGCTGAAAACGTACCTCTTAAATCTTTCAGTAAAAAAGCTGAAGGATTAAATTAGACTAATCCAAGACAAAACCAGTTACAGTATATAATTCCAAGATTCTTTTATTACAACTTTGTATTAATTCACCAAAAATAAAAGGAGTTTTCACTTCCCCGTTTCGTCTCAGGCTTGCAAACATAAACCTAGGATTCAGCAGTCAAGCTAAGCAAACCTTTCCATCTCCAGTAGAAAACCCATCATATTTCCACGTGGAGATTTTACTTCAAATATACAAACATCTGACTGAAGAATTTCCAGTCTTTTCTACTATGTTTTGCTTTAAATTATTTTTAAGGATAGTTCTAAAGCAAAACCACAATATTCTTGTTTGTAATTTCACTGCTACCACCACTTATGACATATTGTGAATTCATCTTCATCATTTGTTGCTATTTAAATACATATTCTCAGACAAAAGTGATTTTTAAATTGATCTTCAACATTTCCAGCAACCTGAAGTTTGAGGAGGAATAAAACCTATTTCATCACTTTCTCCTAAGGATGACAGCTTCCCTGCGCAGCAGATAATTTGTGCAAGACTACACTGTTATTTCAAGCTTGTTGTACTATTACTCTAATAAAACAAACTGAGAAACTATGAAGTGCTGCCAGATTAAAAAAGTACATACATTTCAGAACAGCTGGAATGAGATCCAACTTGAGCCTACACAATTACGACTATCTAGCATAAACACATTTTAGTCTACCTGGATATTCAATAAACCAACAGCTTACTAAAAGTTAAACAAACATCACAGTTATAAGCAAAAACTCATGCTATTCCTAGCCATGAAATTGGTATTTTTAGAATGGATAATTTTTATATTAATTATAAAAACAATTGCTTAAAGTAGTGAGTCTTGTATCTTACAAGTTGTGTTCAGAACTTGTTTCTCTCCAGCTATATTACTACATGAAGTATTTCTTCTCCCACTAGGGTACCAAAAAGATGCAGAAACACAATCACTTGCAGATGCAAAGAAGCCAGTGTCCTGCAGCCTTTCTAGTCTCAATTTCTGGTTTGAAATGTAAACAGTTACTCTGATCATCTGACTTCTGTTTTAGTTCAGTTTTTATTTTGAAATTAGCTATTGACTGTAACAGTAAAATATTAAGTTTCCAAACAAGGAGCTTCAGGTTTATAAGTAAACAGGCTAATAAAGAAACCTTATCTCCAATCTGTCAGCTTGGTACAAGATTATTCCATCCAGTAAACTAAAGTGTCACCAACAGCAGCTCCATCAGAGATCTTCCTCCTATTTCATGTATCTTTTTGATTTGTTATAATTTCATTATGGAGTAGAGACACTAAAAAACTAAAAATTGAAAAAAATCATAAAAGTAAAAAATGGCAGCTGCCGCTTAGCTAATTCTTTTGAACAGCCTCGCACATTGCACACATACTGATGGCTTGTGTTCCTAACAACACACACCAGAGTATTTAAGAGGAAGAGGAGAGAAAAAGCGTTGTTTTCACAACTCATTTCCCTTCAAAGCTAGAAAACGCTGCATGGAACCACATTCCAAGTACAAAAACAACTGCAATCCTCTCCCAGCTGGCTCCTTCTGTTCCCCTCCCTCCATTACAGCCCCTGCTACACCACAGTTCTTAGCGTCTTCCTCTCATTAACGAGACGGTTCACTCCAGTGGGACCCCACCGGGACAGCAACCACCGAGCTCCCCACGAGAGCTGTTA